CCAGAGAGTGGGAAGAGAAAGCATCTACCCCACCTTGAGGTGCCATCTTTGTGGGCACCTCAAGACTTGTTTGGATACTGAGTAGCCCTAGACTGACAAATACATTTCCCTTCAGAAAGTGCAAACTTCTCCTGACCCACAGTGTGGTGATGGGCAGGGAGGAGAACTTGAAGACAGATGCAGGCTAGCTAGTGGAACAGAACCAGGCATTAGTCTCACAGTTGTTTGGTTCAAATCCTGGCTCTGCCACTTGGCAGCGGGGTGAATGTGGGTAACTTATGTGATTATTTGTCCCCCTAAATCTTTGGTTCTTTACCTGAAAGATATAGGACAATAATAGCATCCACCCTTAGAGCTGTGGTCAGGATGAAACATGATCCTTTTGATAAGCATATGCAATAGTAGCTGCCCATAGTAAGAACCTAAGAGGTATTAGCCCTTGTCGTTATTTATGTTATTTTTGGCAACTGAAGGTAGACCTGTGGGCAGCGTGCTGTTTGGGCCTGTGGGGTGAAGGTGAAGAAGTCTTGGGGAGATGTACACTGGAGGGTGCAGATGTTGCATTCAGCACTGGTGGGCTGTGCTTTGGTGCTTCTGTGAGACTGGGACAGAGGTCCAGAAGGCCATAGATGTGCATGAAGGAGCATGTACCCAGGCTGGAGAAAGATTTGGCAGTTCTTGGCAAGCAGATGATGACTGAATCATGGGATCTCACATGGGGGAGAGAGAAGAATGCCCAAGGGAGCTTGAGAAATACAATGTGTGAGTCTGGGTTTTCCTAGAGGCAGGCTCTGAGTCAAGCACTCCAGCATAAGTCATTTATCTGGGAGATGCTTTGGGACAACACCAGTAGGGGAGTGGGGAAGCAAGGTGGGAACAAGTCCCTAGAAGTAGAGCTGAACATAGAGTAGGATGTATGAGCTTTATTGGGGAAGGGTCTGAAGAGGTCTCAGGGGTGAGGGAGGTCAGAAAAGAGGGAGGAATTAGGCAAGGGTGTGCTCGTAGGTCCAGCTGAGCCTTGGCCTGATCTATGAGCAGAAAGAAGTTTGGAGCAAAAAGGGCTCTGCAGAGTTGTCCCTCTGCAGGTAAGCGGTAGCCTTGTATCAGTCTAATATGTCAGTCAGACATTGTGGATGTGGGGATAGAAGGGTCTAGGTTCAGGGCTTTTGTCAGCAGAGGGCAATTCTCATTAGGGGCAATGATGAGCTGTTAGCAGCCTACAGTCAAGGCAGCTGAAGGGAGGTGTCAGAGCCCAAGAATGGGAGTCTGGGTGGGGCACCTACAGCACCTAGGAAGAAAGCAAATTGAAATGTAATGATTAGCAAGTAACTGGGGCACACCCTTTTGGGGACCTCTGGGAAGCAGAATAGAATGCAAGTGTGAGTTATTCTACCCTAGGCCTGGGGCTGGTGGTCCAGCGCTTCTCAGGGCCTGTTAAGCCTTGGCACCTCTGGCTAGGAGGCAAAGTGGCCTCTGGAGACCAGACAAAGACCCCAGGCAAAGATGTGGTCGGGTTGGCACTGGAGGCTAGGCTGCCTGTAGGCAGAATGGTCAGGGCATGAGATGGTGGACAGGGCAGAGCAGTGTCTACACAGCCTTTGAGGGGCGATATGAAAGAAGGAGCAGCCAGAGAGGCAGGAAGTAAATCAGAAGAGGAATAAATGAATGGTCTTGTTTGTGCACTCACATGGCAATACATTTTATTCACCCATGTCTATCCTACTCCGATTGTATCTCTAATGCTGCCAGCCTGGCCAGGGCCGTCTCGGAAAAGCTGAGGAGGCATCTCTGTTGAGCCACTCACACCTGGTCTGCTGAGAAGAGCTGGGATCCGTGGGAGACCAGGGGAAACGGAGCGCACATTCCTGGTTAGCCCCAGAGAGGAGATGGAAACATTCCTTGGAAAATAATGAGCAGAGGAACCTTTAATGATTAGTTAAATCCCGGATAATCCCAGTTGAGGAAGACAGATCCGGACCCCTTAACAGATTTAGGGTTCCAAAACGACTCCGAGAGTGACCCAGGGCAGAGAGGCTCGAGAGGGCTCTGCCTCTGGCTGCAGATTTGTTTGTGAAGAGAGGGGGCTGGGAGGAGCCTACCCTTCACCCTTTCAGGGTCGAAGTTCCCCAAATTCTTGCTCCCGCCCATAGACTCTCTAACTGCAAGGGGCGCAAGGGGACTCGCGGAGTGTGGGTAGGCTCGGGGACCAACTCGCACTCTCCTTTCCCAGTCTCCTAAACGACTGGAAGCGTTCCCCACACCGTGGCGGTCGTGGAGCCAGGCGCTGGGTCCTGCTCCGGTGGCTGCGTTCCCATCCTTGGGCGCCGGGCCTCTCAGCAGATCCCGCAGAGTCCTGCGCGGTAGGCGACCTTCCGCCGCAGGCTGCTGGGGATGGGAGTGTGGACCTGGATTAGCGCTGCGAGAGAGAAGGGGAGGCACTTCTCACTGGGGAGGAGACCATGAGAGTGCCCTCAGGCGCTGCGTTCCAGTCGCCGCCACGATTCAAAAAGGAAGACACCCGGGGTTCAGCGGTCTCTCCAACCTGGTCTGGCGGACCCCTTCCTGCAGGTGGAGCAGGAGGAGGCAGTAGGGATGCTCCTGTACAGGAATTGCAAGGTTCCCTTAGAGCTCTGATTCCGGCTCCTTCTCTCGGCTTTCTCTCTTTCAGCTTCGCTTTCCCGGTTTCTCTATCTGTGACCGGTGTGACCGGGTTAATAAGCCTCAGTAGTTTTCATCTGCAAAAGAGGTTTTGTAAGATCCTTCAGAATGGGTTTAACCGGTGTGCTCTTGGCTCACCCCACCGTGTGGGGTGGCCGAAGTTGGGCTCCTTCCGCCCTACCTTTTGGTACTTTGGGATTCCTAGCCATCCACTTGAGATCTGTCCTCTCGGTGATCACCTGCCTGTTCTGCAGAGGGGAGGGGAGGGAGACTTCAAGACCCTAGTGGAGGCGAGGGGAAGCTGTCGGCACTCCAAACTGCTAGAGCTGCGAGAGCATCCGGGCTAGCAGGGGAGCCGCCTCTTAGACCCTCCCCTTACGAGTGACCCGGGTTGGGCCACCCTAGGGCCAGTGGTTCAGCCTGTTGGCCCAGGAGTTGGTCTGCAAAATGTGTGGATCGTTAGGTGTCTTCCTAAACTGCGGCCCCAAATTCTGAATTACAAAACGACTATTCTGCAGGGCAAAGAGCTAGAGCACTTTGGTTTGGTCCTTTACCACCAACACTCTACTTTAAACCCAGAGATAAATTTGGGGAAAATTCCTGGCGGAGCCGAAAACGACGCTGGCGTCTAAAGCCGCCCCCGCCCCTGAACGATTCAAATGACAATTATCTCAGAGGAAAGTTATTGTTTTGCTAATCCCAGGAACAGCTTGCGAGGGGGAGATTTGGGTCTTCCTTTAATAATGGAAAGCTAATGCGCAGCCTCTTGTAATTATCTTTATCTGAAACCCCTCGTTTAATCTGCATGTTTAACAGTGGCCCCACTCGAAGGCGCAGGGAGCGGGAAACCCACTTTCCCTGACTCGGGGTCCTCTCTGCGCGCGCAGGGAGACAACGCCGCGTACGGGTGGTCTCAGAGAGTTGCCGCCTGCTCGCTGGGCGACCTCAGACCGCTGGGCCCTTAGGAGGTGGAACTGAGGAGATTCTGTGTCCATGGTTCTATATTTGGGAAGGGTGGGCTCAGGGTTTCGAGCGATTCGGGTTGAGTGGACTCAAATTTTCACAAATTTCACTTGTGAGCCAGGAGTGATTTACTCACGTGCTTTGGCGCCAACTTCAACAAGCCAGGGAGTTTCACAGGAAAATCTTTCTTTGAATAATTGTAAAATCTGACAGTAATTTGTTTGCCTCCGTGAAGAGGGGTGTGTCCCAGTAGACAGGTCCTGTGTTGCAATTTACGCCCGCCCTACACACCCAATTTAGAACTGTCAGATAGGGGCGCCTGGGTGGCGCAGTCGGTTAAGCGTCCGACTTCAGCCAGGTCACGATCTCGCGGTCCGTGAGTTCGAGCCCCGCGTCAGGCTCTGGGCTGATGGCTCGGAGCCTGGAGCCTGTTTCCGATTCTGTGTCTCCCTCACTCTCTGCCCCTCCCCCGTTCATGCTCTGTCTCTCTCTGTCCCAAAAATAAATAAAAACGTTGAAAAAAAATAAAAAAAATAAAAAAAAGAACTGTCAGATAAAATACTGATACATACTCATACTAAAAAAAAAAAAGTTCATTGTATATCTGAAATTCAAATTTCACTGGATCTGCAGTATTTTTGTTTGCTAAACCGGCACCGTTCCTTAGTCCACTCTATATCTGTTTCTCCCTACTCCCCCTTCTCTCAGCTCTTGTGAGTTTTGCGGCCCGCTGCAGCTCAGCCATTAGGCCTCTGGGGGTGAATTTGGCTGGAGGTGGAGTGGGCGTGGATTAAATAAACGTTTTCCACTCCTCTCCCTTCAGAGGTTTTCGTGGAAGGTCTTGGCTCTGGCGGTGGAGTTGGAGGGCTGGTGAGTGTCATACTGGTGGTAGTGTGGCTAGGAATGAGGCCCTAGGTCTTAATGAGCAACTGTGTCTTGGGAGGGAGCCTTCGAGGTAGCTGTGAGGGGGACCTCCACCTAGAGAATCTGGAAGGAAAGGAAGACCACTCCAGGGCCTGAAAACTGCAGCTTTTTAGAGGAACCAGCAGATAGCAGGGTCGTGCCCTCCCTACTTTCCTTTCACGGAGAACGGGGGAGGGGGCTGTCGGGTGGGGACTGGGCAGGGGGACAGCTGGAGAGGAGAGAGAAGGAGGTAATTGAGGGGACTGCAGCTGGGAGGGCGGCGACCGAGGGGAGGGAAACTGGTGGCGTCCCCATCTCGCAGGGTCCTGGGCGATGACGCGTCCGCGCCCCACTGATTGGAGCCCTCCCGGCCTTCCGCGCCCGACGGGCTGTCAGGGAGTATAAAGCATCCTCCGAGCTGTGCCCTCTCCGCAAACGTGACCTAGAGAAAGTCAAGCCTCACCGACTGAGAAGCCATGACATGCCGGGACGCACTTTGCGACGGGCGCTCCAGGAGCAGGGTGCTGGTGCCAGGCAGCTCCCCCAGCGGCTTGCGCCCTCGCGGGTTCGCCATTACGGATCTTCTGGGCCTGGAAGCTGAGGTGCCCGCGCCTGCCGACCCCGGGCCAGGATCTGGCTGCGAGTCCTCCGTGGCCGCACCCTGTACGGGTTCGGGTCTCGCGGGCTCCTGCATGGCGCGCGGGGCCCTCCCATTGGGGCTCGGCCTTCTAAGCGGCTTCGGCGCACAGCCCCCAGCGGCCCCTCGGGCGCCTTGCCTGCTCATGGCCGACGTGCCGTTCCTGCCACCCGGGGCGCCTGAACCCGCAGCCCCGCAAGCCCCTGGTCGCCCGCCGCCCCCTCTCGGCAGCCAGAAGAGCAGCGAGAGCGTCTCGACGTCCGGTAATCAGGCCAACGCATCGGGGTCTTGCCCCTGTTTCCTCAGGCTTGGGGCCGTACAGGGGTAACTCACCATCGTCTCATTGAGCCCCTACTCCCAGCATCCCGGATCTAAGGGAACTCGGGACCCCAGAGCGCGGCCCCGTCGGGGGAGGCGTATTCTAGCAGTCTCGCTCCCTTCCCCTTGTCTTTCCCTAAGTCCCTGCCTCTTCTCCGGGACCTGGTCCCGCAGCACAGCAGATACTGCCACCACTCCGTCCCGGACCTACCCCGGGGGTCTTGGCGACTAAGCAGCGGTCTCTGAGGGTTTTTCCCTAGCCCCCGCCTGAGCCTCGGTCTCTGCGAACGGCATAGGTCGAGGAGGCCGGGGCGTGCTTGTTCATCACCAGCACAGAACCCACTACCCCGCGGGGGCTCAAAGGTTTGCTGGATTCAGAGTGAAGAGCGCAGGGCCTGGAGGCCTAGAACTGTCCGCCTCCCGGGGTGCTGAAATAGGAGCCTAGGTACCGCGCTTTTTTCCTTGCTTTGCCCTCCGTCCTCCCGCACACGTGAGAAAGGAAGCAACCTTGCCAATTTCATTGCAGCTATGCTCAACATTTTGTTCCAAGTCCAGCTATTTCCTCAAAGAAGTTGAGGTGCATTACGGGGAAAGAGAAGGCAATGAATGTCTATAAAGAGCAAAGGCCAAGAAATTGAGAGGTTTGGGGTGTGGGGGGAATAAAATGGAGAATTATACAAGAAAACGCAGACTGAGAGAAACTATGTAGTAAAACCTAGAGCTAAGCATCTAGTAGGCAGATAAGGCAAAAAAGTACGTTGAGTCTCTCCACTGAAACTAAAAGTAATAATATAATAAAAGTAAGCATGCCAATTTAGCAGACAAGCAAGCTTTCACTCAGTTTTAAAAAAAACAACAACACTTCACAAGTCTCTGTGTAAGATAAAATGACGCCTTCTATCAGTGGTTTCATTAAAAATGCAAAAACCACCTTCATAGGATGAATTCTTTCTGTGAGAAAATGAAAGGCAAAATACCACTAGATCTTGTCAAGAATGAGTTTCCTGGATCTGCTTCCAGAGATTTGGAATTGGTACAGGAGAGCAGGGAGTGCACGTCTGACAAAGGTTTTGATGTCAAACCTTAGCCGCCCCCTTAGAGAAATGTTGGTTTATTGGTTAAGATGAGGAGTTGGAGGCAGAAAGAAGTGGATGAATTTGGGAGCTAAGTGGGAATAGAGAGTGTCATTAATGGCCAAGTAGCTTCACGCAGTCTGGGGTTTGACTCCCAACTTCAGCATGTACTACCTGTGTGATCTTGGGCAAGTTACTTAATCTCTCTGCACTTCAGTTTCCTCATCTGTAAAAATAGAATAATACTAGTAGCTATCTTGGAGTTCTTTTATGAAGAATAACTGTGATAATGCATGGACAATGCTAAGCACAGTGACTGGAATATAGTGAGTGCTAAAAATGCTAGTGAATATTGTTAAATACTCACATTCTCCAGCAGAATAATAACTTCAAACCTCATATTAAAATCCAGAGAAGAAAGTGAAAAATGTGCTCACCTTTAAAAAGTTTTCCTTCCTTCCTTCCTCCCTCCTCCTTCCTTCCCTCCTTCTTTCTTTCTTTCTTTCTTTCTTTCTTTCTTTCTTTCTTTCTTTCTTTCTTTCTCTTTCTTTCTTTCTTTCTTTCTTCCTTTCTTTCTCTTTCTTTTTCCTTTCCTTTTCTTTCTTTCTTTCTTTCTTTCTTTCTTTCTTTCTTTCTTTCTTTCTTCTTTCTTTCTTTCTTTCTTAAAAGGTAATATGCTCACCTTTAAAGTCCTCTCTTTTCTCCGGTGCTAACAGATGAGGACAGCCCATCTGAAGATAGGAGTGACCTGAAGGTGTCTCCCACCCTTGGCAAGAGAAAGAAGCGGCGACACAGGTATACAGCCAGGCTGTCCTCCCTGGCTATTTCCTCAGGACACAGTATCTGAGACTATATGATGCTGCATTATGGCAGGCCCAGTGACCTCCTCGTTGGCACATAGTAGGCATTTGGGAACATAATTCTGCTATTCATAGGAGGCTACAGGACAATCTTTGTAGCATTTTAAAGACAAATTTGTGGACCTTTAAAATAGATATTCTTAGAATGAGTTGATAGAATTCATTGAGGAGAAAAACATGTCAAAGAACTTTATTGTTGTTTTTGAACGAAACTTCTGGACTTTCCAGAGGCTAATCATTCAGAGGTGATATGTCCAGTTATCATGAGGAGGGCTTTTAGGGTGTGGAAAGGCAGGCATGGGGTCTTCTAAGTCTGGGAAGCCTGGTAGCCTCCTGAGGACATGTGCCCACATATGTGCTTTGGGCTTCCCTACAGGACTGTTTTCACTGCCCACCAACTGGAAGAGCTGGAGAAGGCATTCAGCGAGGCCCACTACCCTGATGTGTATGCCCGGGAAATGCTGGCTGTGAAAACTGAGCTCCCTGAAGACAGAATACAGGTGTCCAGGGTCCCTTTTCTCTTTCCCAGAGACATCACAGAGAACATGTTTTTCTCACACACAGTGGGTCAACCCACAGCCACCTGTAGACAGCCTAACACATTCCCATTGACACACACTGAGGCTCACTGGCTGCAGATACCACAATGCTAGAGACTTTCTGTATTTTTATTCCAAGAAGATATTTCCTGTAATCTGCATGTCTTTTTTTCCTTTTATTTATTAATTCTCTAAAATTACACAATAATGTGTGCTGCAACTAAAAACTACATATATAGCTATATATATCTATAACTCTATCTATTATCTATCTATCTATCTATCTATCTATCTATCTGTCTGTCTAATCTTTGACTATCACTCCTGGAGAGAAAACAATGTAAATATCCTGCTGTAATCTTCCTTCACACCATCTCTGTGTTTATATCTGGCTGTGAATATGTTTATATATCTCTATCTCTCTATCTCTATCTCTATCTCTATCTCTATCTCTATGTCTATCATCTATATCTATACTTACACACACAGGATTTTGTGTGTAAGATATTGAGTTATACTTCTTAGTCTTTTGTTTGACAATGCATCTTGAACATTTCTCTAGGAAAGATTTGCCACTAACTCACTCTTTAACAGCTAAACAATATTCCATATTATTCCTTTATTAAGATAATATTTTCCAGGAGAATTATCACCAACAACCCAAAACCTGGGGCTTAGAAAGGACCATTGCCAGCGTGAACTCTTTCTAATCAATGAAAAAAATCAGGAAACATAATAGTCTACTTCTTTACACAATCTGCGAAAGAACACTTTGATTTTATTTTTTGTCATTTCTCATTTTCTGGAAAGCCCCAGTGGAAACTGCACATTAGCCCCACAATGATGAGTCCTTTTGAGTTCTGAGTGAGCAGTAGGTACAGCTCCTCAAAGGTCTGGGACTTGAGTGGATAGTTGGCCCTTTTAGAACTCCCTGCTCAGGGGCACCTAGAAGCATCCTCTTTACTGTGTCTCCTCCTGTATGCTCTTCTGCTTCCTGTCCTGCCTCATATTAGGTCTGGTTTCAAAACCGGAGGGCCAAGTGGCGGAAGCGGGAGAAGCGCTGGGGTGGCAGCAGCGTGATGGCGGAGTATGGGCTCTATGGGGCCATGGTGAGACACTGCATCCCGCTGCCAGACTCTGTCCTCAACTCCACCGAGGGTGGCCTGGTTGGTTCCTGTGCACCATGGCTTCTGGGTAAGGAAGAAGGGCCTTGCAGCCAGCAAGAGGCCCAGAGATACTGGGGGAGGGAGTGGGGTTCCCACAAAAGGCAGCCATTTGCAAAGCCAATCAATGTAAATTTACTCAGATTTGGGCCCAGAATATCACATCCAATTTTTAATTAATTCAAAGGCTTGAACTGTGGTCAATTGATTTATTTTGCATTGGAACTGTGTACACAGTGTGTGGAAAGGTCACATTAAGCCTTGGTTTTAAGAGTGGAATGATGTAATATGTGAAATACATTCCAAAATGTTAGAATTTTTGGAAATCATACAACTTAGAGCTCGTGGTAATAGTAATGAGGGCAGTGCTAAGCAGTGAAACCTGCAGGTGATTAACGCCCTACAAATCAGAGCCAGGAGGTCTGGGTCTGGGTCCTGGCAGTCTGCCACTAACAACTTGCTTTTCTGTCTCTTAGACTTTTGGTGCTAGAACAGCCTACACTGGTAAGGTCCAAGTTTTGAGGCTAGGCATTCTGGTGTTTTCTGTTGTTACCAGAGACCAATGGGCAGAGATCACACCTTAGAGGAATGAGTCACAAGATAGCACCTAGGGCAGGGTGGGAGGTTAGAGTTAGGTGTATGTATGAGGAATTCTAGGCTGGTAGGGGGAGGAGGTTTTTTGTTTAGCAAACATTTTTTTTAGCCCCTACCCCCAGACACTATGCTGAGACTAGAGATACCAATAGTAAATATGGTCCTGACTTTGCCCTCAAAGACTGAAGAGACAGAATTTGGGGCAGGGAACCAAGTTCACCCTTCTGAACTTCCACAAGCAGGTCAGATGTGGGGCAGTGATGCTCACTGGCATCTGCATATCTGTGGCCTTGTAAGAAAGTGGGCTCAGTGCTGCCAGACACTCTTACTTCCGGAGAAGCTGGAAATCTGGCTTTTGATGTAAAATCTCCTGATTTTAAAATATTGGCAACAATTAAATTTGAACAATTACTGTGATATCCAAATAAGACACTTTTGTTGGGTGCACCCCACAGACAGATATTAGATTTAACCCTTAATGGGGGTAGTTGCCTAGCTGGTTCCCCTAGAGGCCCTGGAGACAGATGCTGATGAAGGCATTTTTTTTAACGTTTAATTATTATTGAGAGACAGAGAGAGACAGAGCATCAGCATGGGAGGGGCAGAGAGAAGGGGACACACAGAATCCGAAGCAAGCTCCAGGCTCTGAGCTGTCAGCACAGACCCCCACATAGGGCTCCAGCCCACAAACTGTGAGATCATGACCTGAGCAGAAGTTGGATGCTTAACCAACTGAGCCACCCAGGTGCCCTTATGATGAGGACATTTCTTTTTTTTTTCTTTTCAACGTTTTTTTTTTTTTTTTTTTTTTTTTTTTTTATTTTTGGGACAGAGAGAGACAGAGCATGAACGGGGGAGGGGCAGAGAGAGAGGGAGACACAGAATCGGAAACAGGCTCCAGGCTCCGAGCCATCAGCCCAGAGCCTGACGCGGGGCTCGAACTCACGGACCGCGAGATCGTGACCTGGCTGAAGTCGGACGCTTAACCGACTGCGCCACCCAGGCGCCCCATGATGAGGACATTTCTAATGGGATTTAGAGAAGCTAGACAAGGAAGAATTTACAAAATTGCTGAATTTGGAGATACCTATTTTTATTTTTTCTCTTCTTTTTTGCAAGGGATGCATAAAAAATCCACAGGGATGATAAGGAAACCAGGAAGTGAAGAAAAGCTGACAGGACTCTGGGACTCAGACCAACTCCAGGAAGGTTCTAGCCCAAGGCAGACAGGATCCCAGAGAAGCTCAGATGAAGCCAGCACTGAGAATGGCTTGGAAGATATGGCCATTGATCTCTCCAGCTCTGCCCGGCAGGAGACCAAGAAAGTACACCAGGGCACCAATGCTAGAGGATGCTCAGACTCCTCAGGGCTGGAGGGGCTCCAGCCAGGGAAGGTGGGAGCCTGATGAGGCCCACAGGCCCTACCCTCAAAGGCTGGCAAGTTCATCCCTTATGGTATTTTCCACAAGATAACAGTTGTCTAAGACAAGGACTCTCAGCTGGATTTTCTTCTTCCAGTGTCAGGATAAAATGTAATGCCACTTGCTTTAAGAAGACAAATGATACCTTAGGGAAAGCCCATTTCACCCTAGAATGGAAACCATTCCTTAAAGGCAGTTAATTTTATGTAAAATTTTACTTCTTTTTTGTAGAACTTGAGAAGGGAGGATTTAAAATTCAAAAAGTGTATTCACTGCTGGGCCTCATTTGAGATTTGGTTCAATATACTGTGTAAATTAATAGGTGGTCTGATGTCCTCCATCTGAATTTGAAAATATAAATTTACTTAATCTCCAGAGAATCAGATGTCTTTATAAATAGCAAAGACCCCATACAGACATATGAATGAATTATAGTATCTTTACCTTGAACTTGGCTTTGGACATTTCACTTTTCTCATTAAGCAATACTTTGTATTATCCTGAGTGTCATTTGATAGGCTGTGCATATCAGAACTCATAAACAAGAAAGCAACCCATACTTTCCCTTCCCTTCTGAAATAGCATGGGACTGTGTTTAATATCTATAAACAGTGTTTTAAGGTCAGACAAAGCTTCTTGGTCTTTTAAAATTTATGTTTGAAAGCACTTTAGCAACTTGGATTTCATGAATGTTTTGTTTCCTGTATTTCCTTTGCAATTTATTTATTATTTAAGAATAAACATTGTGTGGTGTGTTTGCTTCTCAAGGCACTATTTCTGTTACACATATGTACATCTCCAAGATCACTGATCCCCTAATGAAGCTCTCCCCCCACCCCCCATTCCTATCGGCCCTTTTCAATATCAGGATTGAAGGATTGAAGGATTTCATTTTCCAGGCTGCAGCACGTGTCATGTGTAGCTTTGTAAACTCCCATAGGGTGGTGGCTGGGTCTAATTCACCTTTTAGAGTTCAAGTTCAGAGAGACTTAGGTTTGAGGGGGAAATGTGAAGCTTCATGAAGAAGGCAGAATGGGGAAGGAAAGTGGGGAGCTTGAGAGGCTTCCTCTGGAAATCAGTGCAGTCAGGCTGGGCCTGTTTTCTCTCATCTCTCCATGAGAACACAAAGGATCCCTTCCTTTGGCCTATTTTTCTCATCCTTGTTAATTCCATACTCTGTGAGAATTAAATATCACCTATCCTTACTGCAGACGCAGAAAACCATGAGCACTACCTTCTTTTATTCATTCTGGCTCATAGAAATTATTGCTGACTCCTGACACTGCACAGCGAAAGAGCAGGTGTTGGTGAAGAACTCTAGAAGTTATGTTCTATCTTTCCTGTCTAGAGGCAGCATGCCAGGCTCTAAGCCAAGTGGCCATACTTGCTCTGGACCATCTTCTGCCTTCCAGCTGGTCATAAGATTCTTGCTTCCATCTCTCATCCTTAGTTTATCCAGGGTTGAATTTGAGCTAGTACCCTGTTTAACTAACATACATCGCACTCATAGAATAAAATATTGCGCAACCTCTAAAAATGGTAACAATAGGGCATATCGTTTCATATTTCATATTAATTAAATATTGGTGATTAAAAACTAACTCTAAATAAATGGAAAGAAAGATATAAGTAGAAGTAAGCAAATATGTAAAGCAGAATGAAATAAAGAAACAATTAGTTTTACATAAAAATATACAAATAGTGGACAAATTTCTATGAAATATTATAAAGAAAGAACAAACAGGAAGAGGCAAAAGAGAAAGGGACCAGAATGAGTAATGTAGACAATTTTAAATACATAAGAAAATACTATTCACGACTGGCAAGTATACTGATATGTTTTAAAACTCCCCCACAAATGGGCACATTTTCTGGAAAAATACGTATTACTAACATTAACTCTAGAATAAACATGGGATTTGAAAAATCACTAACCAAGAAAGTCAATTGTATTATAAAGTGGCTCTAGATCTAGATGGGGTTACGTGTGAATTCTTGACATTTTTGAAAGAAGAGATCATTTTCATGGTATATAAGTTGCTGCTGAGCATAGAAAGAGGTGAAAGGGTTTCTAACCCTAACATAACCTGGATTCCAAAACCCAGTGAAGATAGTGTAGCCACTCTCCTCAAAACTCTCTAGTTAGCACCACTAATGGGAATATGAAATTCCTAAATAAAGTGTCAGTGTCTGGAATTTAATAGTATGCTGGAAACAATCTTGGACGACAGAAGGTCTACCCCAGGAATCCAAAGAGAATTTAATATTGTGAAAGAAAATTATTTAAACATTTTATTGACAACCCAGATAAACAAAAAGCTATCTTAACAGATTCATTCAACAAATACCTATTTCTTTAAAAAAAGCCTTAAAGGTAGGAATAGAAGTATGCTTATTTCAAAAACAGCATCTCAATATTTTGTAATGCACATATACATATATATAAAAACACAGTCTTTGAGGTAGCTCTGTTACCTTCTCACTTTGTAACTGTGGATGCATTACATAACCTTTTTGATCTCTCACTTTTTTCAGTCATAAAATGGGGATAATAATAGAACACTCATTTTCCCGGAAGATTAGACGAGAGAACATGAGTAATGTGCTTAGCTTGGTTTCTGGCATGCAGAGAAAGCAAAATAAATATTAGCTATCATTATGACTATTAATGGCATTCCTATTAATATCAAGACTCAAATGAGAATACTTACCACCATTATTTAACAACATGGTACCAACTAAGTACAGGATGGAATAGTAGTAACCTGTTGGAATGCTTTGTGTAAATAACATTTAGGAAGAGCTCCAGGAACAAAGTAGGACAGACTTTTGGTCTTTTTTCATGTTTTCTAAGTTCTGTAAAGTTGGTATGTAAAAATAAAATAAATTTGTTGTTAATATTAATATTATTAAAATAGTAATACCTCTTTTTCAATTTAAGGCTAAGTTCGCACTGGACAAGAACTCTTTTAGGGGTGCCTGGGTGGCTTAGTCAGTTAATCATCTGATTCTTAGGCTCAGGTGATGATCCCAGGGTCTTGGGAATGAGACCTGTGATGGGCCCTCTTCCACCCCCCACTCCACCCCCACCCACGTGGCTTGGGTGTGGAGCCACCTTGAGTTTCTCTCTCCCTCTGCCCCTTACCTCCTTTCTCATGCTCTTTGTCTCTCAAATTAAAAAACAAAAACAAAACTTTTTAAAAACACAGTGTGAAAACTTTTTTTGATGAGAAATCTGCACTTTGCTCATGTCTCCTGTCTGGTTCTCGAAAGTGCCAATTTAATAATGAGGAAACAAACAGTCATTTTATACACGTGTTTTAAAATCCTTACTAAAATCATGCAGCAGGTCAAATTTAAGCCTGACCACAGACTGACAGCAGGACTGAATCATTTCCAGCTTTCAAAATTGTTTTCTGGCTGAAATGTGGCTGTAAAAGCCCCAAAGCAGATTTTTAAAAATTACAATTTTAGCAAGGCCAATTTGGAAAGATTCCTAATATGTCACACTCCCAGAGTCATACTCCCAGCTGGCTGAGAGTATTAGGAGGTAGCATATCAGTGCATGAGAAACATTCATGATTTCAGGAGATATTTTCAGAAATGACAGAAGAACAAGAGATAGAAATCAATATTGTTTCCTTTGGTTTAGCAGTATAAATACAATAAACTATCCACACACTATGTATATACATACATGCATATCTAAACCATTTGAGAGGAAGTTGCATAAAAATCTAGCCCTTTATGTTTTTTATGGCTTTATTGAGGTATTATTGACATAGGCCATTTTGTAAATGTAAGATGTACAATATAATGATTTGATACATGTATATATTGCAAAATGTTTGCTGAAATAGGTTAGTTAACACATGCTTCACCTCACAGAATTATCATTTGTTGTTATGGTGAGAACATTAAAATGCTACTCCCATAGCTACTTTCAAGTATGCAATACAGTACTGATAAATATAGTCACCATGCTGTACCTTAGATCTCCCAAATTTATTTATCCTATAACTGAAAGTTTGTACCTTTTGACCATATCTATCTATTTCCTTCACTCCTCTGCCCTGGCAGTCACCATTCTACTCTCTGTTTCTATGGGTTTGGTTTTTTTCAGAGTCCACATATAAGTGAGATGATATAGTATTTGTCTTTCTCTGTGTTGGTTTGTAAGCCCCTTGGGAGCATCCTAGGTAAAATCTGAAACCTGCAACTGTACACAGAAGGCAGAGAGAAATAAAGAGGCGGCCACTCAACGTTGGTAGGTGGGCATTCTAATACACAAAGAAAACTCATGTATGAGGCTTGTCTTGGGTGGCAGCAAGACAAATAGATTTCTGCACCCACCTGCCAGATCTTAAAAGTTTTTACAGAGGCCTTTACTGGGTTTAGTCATATATACTGCCCAGATGGTCTCAGGACCACATTCACTTTCTCAAGGTTGTGTCCTTGGGGAAACCTCTAGAGTGGGGAAAAGCAAGTAGAATACATATTCTAAGAACAGGGGAGGGGGTGAGGAGCCAGATTGCCAGGGTCCAGTTCATAGGTGAACCAACAATCAAGTCATATCCCCCAAAAATCTGTCTGACTTATTTCACTTAGCATAACCACCCCCGCCAGGTCCATTCACGTTGTTGCAAAAGGAAGGATTTCCTTCTTTTTCGTGGCTGAATAATAATCCATTATTGTTTTTATATATTATAATATTATATATTATATATTATATGTATATCACTTTCTTTAAAAATTTTTTTAAATGGTTTTATTTTATTTTTGAGAGAGAGAAACAGAGCATGAGCAGGGGAGGGGCAGAGAGAGAGACACAGAATCTGAAGCAGGCTGTACTGTCAGCATAGAGCCTGACGCAGGGCTTGAAGTCATAAACCTCTAGATCATGACCTGAGCTGAAGTCGGTGCTTAACCGACTGAGCCACCAGGTACCCCATATATCACTTTCTTTACCTGTTCATCTGTCAGTG